AGTTCGAGCGTCTCGCGTAGTCTTGGCCTGGAACCAGGGGACGTGGCAGAAGCGAGCGATTGCGTAGCGCTTAACAAGAGCCGAAGCGAGAGCGAGCTTGGCATCGCGGACGTGATAGTATCTCAGAACAGATGATTGCTCCTCCTCGGTAAGAAGTGAGAGGGCACGTGAAGCCTAAGGTATGATATGAGTATCAGGTCAAAGTGGATGACTAGAGCACTTACAGCGGATGTGAGGTCCTTGGTCTTGAGAGCGGAGGGCCAAAGTGGACGAGTGTCGATCACCCATTGGATGACCGTGGGTGAGGATTGGGTCCTACTCATCGTTGCTACAACTATTGCCTTACAATGCTGGAGAGCTAGCGTTTCAACTGAACCATTTGAAGTAGGTGAGGGGAGTTGAGACGAGACTGTGACAAGACAGGTGAGACTCGGAAGCCGAAAAGACGAAACCGGGCCTGTCAGAGGTGGGGTCTTGATTACGGGCCGGCCGAAACGCTACAGCAACCAACACCGAGTATAATAAGAGGCCATGAAGAGAACTTTGAATGTGCTCTACAGGCTCTCATCCCTTTCTTCGTTCTTGAGACCTAGTTATGCAGTCGAGTCTTGTACAAGAATCCTGCACCCCTTTTCTCTCCTTGACAGCCACAACCATGATTAGCCATTAAAACCACCACGGCTCATTATGTCCGAGAGGAGACTTCCATTCTTATATTACATCACTTCTTTTTCTGCTATAGTTGAGGCCTTTTTCTTCTTCTCAGCATAGCAGTATCTTTTACTTTTACCATTTGCTGGCTTAAGCCAAACGAGCAGTGCTGCGCCGACCAGTGTATCTACCTAAGCCAATTCCTATCACCAAACGAAACAATAAGGATTATACAAAAGCTTCAGTCAATAGAACATAAGATGCACTCTCAGCTGGCAACACGCTCGACTTTTCACTATTCACCCGCCCATCTTAACGCCGAGTGTTGGGCACAACAAAACTCCAGAGGAAGCACAGTCCGAAGCAAAGCAGAACAATTGCCACCTTGGACCTGAGTGGATGGAACGACCCCTGCGATGAGTCTGAACCTTTACGCGGTGCAGGGGATTAAGGACGTTGGTGGTGGCCGATGTCTACTAATACAGACTCGAAATTATGTCTTTAATAAGAAGATACGGGGTACGCGTATGACGTGGATGGATACGGAGACACCGAGATAATGATTCTTATTTTACTTTGAAGCAGTCCAGATTTAATATTAATGTTAATGATAATGATAAAACCCCCTTCTCTCGGCTGCCTAGAAGTGATAGTTGCTTATGTGGGACAAATTGCTTGATGTATAGACACAGAGCCGGCCGACGGACGAAGCATTGAACAGTTAGTTCATGTCTACTCTATGACACTCATGTATTTAACGTCTATGACCTTCTGGCGAAGCATTGCTACTGCAATCAGCTCCCGTCACCAAGACTGCGGCCATGAAACCTCCGCTCATTCTGTATCTGACTCAGCATCAATAGAGAGTAAGAATACATGACGGTCTTCCTTGCTTTCGCTCTTGTCCCCCTCCTTTGCTTTCCCATCTTCTTTATCCTTGTGTTTGTCCCCGTCTTTCTTTTCGTCCTTTTTAGTTGTATCCACGACGCCATCTTCTAGCTTGCCGAGGGTCTTGGTCGCGTTGCCCTCGCCATCCAAGTCCACTACCACGTCAATCTTGTCGAGGCTTCCATCTTCGGTGTATTTCCACATCTGCTTGATTTCTCCACGCACCAGTCCTGTCAGCCAGAGAGATCCCAGAACACCAGGAACGAGATACAATAATGCGGGCTGGCCACGCTTGAAAATCAAGAGCATAGCCAAGGTAACCAGCATGCCGAGAAGATACCCAATGACCGAGGCATGAAAGTAAGTCTTGCGGAAGTGTGCAGCCGCCAAGTCAGGGGGCAGCTGTTGCGACCCAAAGATAAAGAATGCCTTACGCGTCCAAAGGCCATCTCCCCACTTGCCTTTAACGTTGACGTACTTGGCCTTGACCTCCTTGTGTTTAGTCTCGCTCCGTACGATGAGAGCACCAGACGTTGGGTCCTTCTCAATGAGCTTGAGGTCAGTGCTCTCATACTTGATCTTATGATCATAATGGAGCCAGAGGTCAAATCGAAGGGCTAGGGCCATGACCATGCCTGGAATGACAATATCACCCAGTCCAAGGATGCTCTTACGATCTGCAGCCTCGAAAGTGAGCTTGATTGGGACCTCCAACTTGGTTGCTACTGTAACCATATAAGGGCTGAGAGTGGTTAGCATTGGGGTCAACATCAATATCAATCCTATAACTCACGTGTAAAACACCATTATGATATCGTAAAAGAACAGGCCAACTAGGATCAGAGTACTAGTCAAGAAATCTGTGGGCGAGATAAGTTGAAGGGAGCCGTAGCACATGGCATAGCCAAGCATATTGCTCAACAACGGGGAGTTAGTTGATGAATAAATGAGCGCCGTGGCTAGTGCCATAACCAAGGACACTACATGAGAAAACTTGATTCGACCTTCCTCTTTACCCATTCCATGAACGAAGAGCTTGATGGCCCAATGCCGATTAAGGAGGCCTCGAAGCTCCCAGCCAGACTTGCGGATCTTGTCCGAGAACGCCAAACAAGCAAATGGTCCAGGAAAGGGGTTTTGGGTTTTAGGGATTGCCGCGTCGGGGTTTCCCGCATCATCGCAGACTTGTACTGATCTTGTCTTCTGGTCCGCTTCCCTTAGTCGCCCGTCACGGCCGCGCCAGTATCGTGGAAAGGCCAAGCTGGTCACTACCTCAATACCATGAGAATAGATTGATACCAGACTAGCAACCGACATGGTAGACATGTACCAACGCAGAATCTTGTTCAGAATATCAGGGTCCTTGAGCCACTGAATCAGGTAGTACAGGCCGATAAGGACAGCACCAGCCATAAGCGGGAAAACAATGGCATCGGAGGGCTCTAGTCCCTGGGCAAAGCTCTCCTCGTCGTCGCCTTTGGAGCCGGGCTTCTTTTTCTTCGCAGGTTGTGCAGATGGGGGTCGCCGAAGAGCAGCGTGGGCACCAAGATAGATGATGCCAATAGCGCTGAGCACGAGCCTGACTTCAAGCATAACAAAACTCAGATCTTTGATATGGGCAAATGATGAGAGCCAACTTTGCCCATTGGCGAGGGTAGAATTTAGAGCATCAAAAGAGCCCCCCAAAGCGGCTGGATCTGTAGCGTTTTCCGCCATGGTTTGGGAGGAAGACGTTGCTAATGTTGTTGTCGATGAAGAGAACGCAACGTGTTCTAAGCCTGGACAAGTTGTGTAAAGTGAGAGTTAAGGGTCACTGTCATGACATTTCGTGGCAAATTTTCAGCACGTTGACTCCGTCGTTTCTGCAGAAGAATTGCAGTAACGCTTTAAAGAAAGAAGGGAGAAAAGTAAAAGTTTAACAAAGCACAGAAAAATAAAAATAAAGTCCTGACATGCAGCAGTATCTTTGTCGAATGACGTCTGATGCAAGTGTAAAAGATCACTGAGCTGAACGGAAACAAAATGTTATGGGGCTGAAATATAGTGAGTGGTCTGCATTTTGTTACAGAGTTGCTTGACCAATCATGTACCTAGCTCGCAGTGCTAAAACCGTCAGGACTCATGGTGCATACAAATTGCGCCCACCATCATGTTGAATATATCTTAGTAGGTAGAGATAGAGCTGCTGATCTTATTTTAGCAGGAAAAGCACAATACATGTTGGCAGCAGGAAGAATACAAACAATGTACCTTGGCAGTAGGTACCTAGTGATACTAGGACATTTCATGTGAAATATTTGCTCGAAATTATATAGCCCAAGCACCAGTGACCTCACTGCTCCATGTTCGTAGACTACCTAAATAAAGCTGGTTGTGTCAATGGATGGGTTTGGCAGATCATAAATTTCCCCTCCATCAAAAACAACTTAAACCTTGCAGCATCGCAATCATGACAACGAACATATCACTCGAGACCACAATGGTACGTCGCAAACTCTCGTCTTTGACTACAACTACCTACTTAGGTACTGACAAGCTACAGGGCTCGCTCACCGTTGAGCTCTACACCACCCACGCCCCCAAGACCTGCAATAACTTCGCCACTCTCGTCCGCCGCGGCTACTACGACAACACCATCTTCCACCGCATCATCCCCAACTTCATGATCCAGGGCGGCGACCCAACAGGAACGGGTCGCGGCGGAAGCTCCATCTACGGCGACAAGTTCGAGGACGAGATCGATCCGGGTCTCAAGCACACCGGCGCTGGCATCTTGAGCATGGCCAACGCGGGCCCCAACACAAACGGATCGCAGTTTTTTATCACGCTTGCGCCTACGCCTTGGCTCGATGGCAAACACACTATATTTGGAAGGGTCAAGTCCGGCATGAGTACTGTGAAGAGAATGGGCATGGTCAAGACTGGGTCTGAGGACAGGCCGAACGAGGACATCAAGATTGTCAAAGCTCGCCTTGTAGAGGAGGAGGAGGAGGAGGTCTAGATATTAGAAAGTATTCTCGGGATGGTTGAGACATCTCTAGCATTGGCGTTCAGGATCAAAAGTTACAATTCATGGTCACGGTCACGGTCAAAGTCACAGGTCGCGTTCAAGATCAAATTTCTGCAAATATCCATTGTTGTTGTACTCATTACGCCAAAAAAAAAAACGCCCCGGTCCCTTTTCCATGGATGCTGTAAATATCCGGTCCCGGTAACCTTAGCCAACCAGCTCGCCATTCCAATGCAATGATGTATTGATGATAATACAAGTAGAGTAAATGTTCTTGAGAAGCAAGCGATAAGCAAATGATGTCCTTTGTCGCGTGACGTACTGCCTGCTTCTATCGTTTCCAACCATAAAGATTCATACTGATGCCTGTACGAGGCTGACGCCAAGCGGACAGCCTAACACGCCATCAGATCGATGATATATCGCTCATGATACTGTTTCCGAGCGAGATCTACTGAGGAGGGGATGAGAGAGTGTCTGAAGATTCTGACTCTCCAGTTGCCTCGCGGATGAGGTTAGGCTTGGGCTTGGGTGACCCCAGCGGAGGTTTGTTCATCTTAAGCTTCTTAACAGGACTGATACCCTTGGACACAACCTTCTTGGGTGCCACCTCAACGGATTCACTGTTGCTGTAGTCGGCCTTTTGCTCCTGGCTTAAGGACGACAGACCCTTGGGTTTGTCCTTTTTGAGGCTCGGCTTCGTCTTGAGAATCACCTTCTTGGTGACCGCTGAGGAAGCAGGCTTGAGCTTCTTTTTCTTGTGACTGTTCTCGGAATCTTCCTCTTCGTCGCTGGCATCGCGCTTCTTCGGGCTGGCTGCGCGGGAGCCTTGTGCTGGAGTCGCCTTTTGTGATGAAGGTGGCGTTGTGTCATTCTGAGATCCGCCATTACTCAACTTCTGCGCGGCAGCTCGACTAGCATTGCGACCACTGTTCCCAATGCACGAGCCCATATGGTTATTAAGTCGGGTGACGAGAATGCAACGCTTGCATTTGCTGCAAGTAGCTGAGGGGAAAGAGAGAACATTGGGTGGTCGCTGTTCGGTATTGGGAGAATCGGTGTTACTCTTTTCCATGTCCTTCTTCTTCTTGCCTCGACCAGGACCTTGAGGAACCCAGCTCTGGCCATAGATGTCACAACCAGGCTTATCAATATAAGGATGTTTCTTGCAGTAGATGACACCGGGATCGGGTTTTTGAGCGCCTTTTCCATCCGTCGGGTATAGGAGTCGGGGCAGATGGCATCGGGGGCACAAAATCTCGGCGGTCGTCTTGAGAGGATTGCCCTTCAGCAATACTTTTCCATCCTCGTATATGGCGGCGTCGGTCTCAATCCGTACGTCCGGTTTTGAGTCTGGCGTTGAGCTGTCGGACGCGTCGGATGCCAGCTTCTCGATGCGAATGGCAGCGGTGGTAGCCCTCGCCGTCTTCTCTTCGCGGTGCGTCTTCATCAATAGATCGCTCAGAACGTTGTAAAGCACATCATCTAGTACAGCATGTGCCTGAAGGAGGTTCTTATTAGCGATTTATTAGAAAAGGCATTGCCGATGGATGGCGAGCAACAATTTCGATGCAATGGTGCTGCGATAGGGGGCGCAGAGATGAGCAATCACCACAGAGGACATGATGGCGCTCGCGAACGACGACTGGTTTCGCATCGCAGGGAGGTGGACGAGTAAGAGATAGAGACCGAAATACTTACCAACTTATCCATCGGAGCAGCATCATCTGGAGCACTTATGACGCCCGCCCTGCCCGTGCCAGCATTCATGATGTCGCCGGATATCCTGAGTCCGAGCCAGGGCCGACAAGTTTGTAAGGAACAATACTGTAAAGCGGAGGGTGTGTAACTGAAATCGTGTGATGATGCCGAGGAGCGAAACGGCAGCTACCGGGCGGAGGGGGGGTGTGCACGGAATTGCAGCTGGGGTACAGTAGTGTTACTGAGGTGAATACGGAGTAGGGGCGCTGGTTATTGCGATAAGAGAAAAAAGTTTGGGGGAGAAAATATCAGAAGTTGAAGGTGAGAGAATTAATCGTGAAAGAGGAGGAATAATTAATGGGAATGTGTAAGAATGACGAGTAATTGTCACTCTGATCAGGATGAAACAATGAGTAAACCAAATGAGTTAACAATAGGGAGTGGTGAGATGAATAAGGTAACAATTGATGAGTTTCTATTCTCCAATCTTCGTTTGTAGGAGGTTCCCAGTGCAGTGCGCTACAAGTTCAGCGTTTGCGTTCGGCAACCGGGGAGAAAAACGAGATGGATCGATATTGACGAACGGCCCAAAGTGACGAAATAGATGGCTCGCTTGTTGAAGCGAGTAATTCAAAACGAAAAGAACAAGAGAACCCCAAAAGTAGCGACAAAAAATTAGATGCCAGCGATGAACAAAAGATGACGAGACGGTTGGTTTTGATGGTTCAAAGTCAGTCAAGGGGAAGATTTTAAGCAAAAAATTAAAAGTCAACGTTTTAGCAGAAGCCACCCGAGACTGAGCCTGAGCCTCAGCGGGAGTCAGTGTGCCCCAGCGCCCAGTGCTCACGGTATCAGCCACTGAAATTAGAGACGTAGACTTTGGGAGGTTAGTTGGAGGGGAGGAAAGAAGACTCAGGGCCTTACCCCACGGCTCGAGCCAACGGGTAATCCTAAATGATAGAAAGATTTGGGTAAATTAGTATAAGTTTAGGATATCTTTAGGATACCGTTTGCTGAGTTTATCTTGATATTCTATATTAAAGTCTGATGTCTTCTTGCTCCCTAAGGAAAGGGACATGGAGCCATGTCCAGTCATATAACGAATCTGACAAGATTAAAGGGTTGGTTGGTCTTTATCTTGCTACAGTCCGGTAATGTTATTATTCAGGTACTGAGTCTATCATACGGACGCCATGTGAGAGGTAACTAGTCATCAAGATCGATTGATCAAGATCCAGCAGCTTCGCTTATGTGAAGTTTAATTGACAACCATGGCAGATGCAAGGGCGATCGATCACCTTTGGCTTGTATGTCACTAATGCAGCTCATAGTGTACGACTTTTATACCAAAGAATGCCTAGAGAATTGAGGAACCCCAACATACAAGAGTCTGCTCAGATGGAGCAGTATGAACGGAATATATCCCTTACCGTATAATGGTTATACTCCTCCTTAGAGTTGCCCATGTGCCACGTGTTACCATCCATGTATCTACTAACCAAACCACTTACTCATCCTGCAACTCACAAACAACACCTGTCAATCGACTTTCAGGGGCGGGTACCCTTCAGAATATCGGCCGCTGCTAAATTTATCTAATTCCCATCAAGGGGCTCCCTTTAACGAATGGCGATCGACGTCAATCTAGATCTCTCACGTGCGATTGGCTATCCCTTCATCTTGAAAGCCATTCATTGGGCGATCTGCGCTAGTGGCTATCCAAGAGCCTCATCCCCTCTGGACTTCCATGCTTTCTCGACCCTTTGAATGCATACCTCCACGAAAGCATAATCCTCATTGCTCCGGATTGACACTTAGACTCAAAGAGTGCATAGTTTAGGGTTTAGGCCGGGTGTTTGTTTGTCTCACGTTTCCCAACCTTTTGTTTTCTTTTCCCTTGTTTACACTTTGTCGATATCTGATCTGTCTCATAAACAACCTCCGTCCTCTCTCAACAACATACAACCTCTACTTGTCTCGATCAACCTCCCACTACACATTTACATACCTCTGCATTAATATGTCACTTCCGTCCACGAAACCCGCCCAAACTTCTATCCGATCCTTTTTCACGGCAAAAACACCCAAATATGCTCCTCCGCCTTCTCAGGGGGCTCCCATAGAGCTCTCGCAACCTCCCCCGCCGCCTGCTGCTGCTGCTGCTGCTGCTGCCCCTCCACCAACCTCGAAGGCGCCAGACTCCACGATAGCCTCGTTCCAAATCCCGCCTCTGCCGACATCTCTCCCTCAAGAAGCTACGATCCGACTGGTCTCGAACGACGATATCAATGCCCTACGCCGTATCAACGCCCTTCTTCTTCCCGTTAGCTACCCCGACAACTTCTATCAACGTGCAGTTGATCCGGCATCTGGTCGCTTTTCCCGAGTCATCACCTGGACTCACGATGGTTCTGAAGCCAAGGTCGTTGGCGGCGTCGTTTGCCGCGTTGAACCCATCCTCGATTCCAACAGCCAGGGAGTCATGCCCCAGAATCTATACATTCAGTCGCTATGTCTGCTCTCGCCTTATCGATCGCTGGGTCTTGTGAACGCTGCAGTGGACAATATCATTGCAGGTGCTGTATCGGACCCCAACTTGAATGTGACAACTGTCACGGCCCATGTTTGGACCGAGAATGAGGAGGGTCTGAAATGGTATGAAGGTCGTGGCTTCAAGCGCGAGAACCAACCTATTGAGGGCTACTATCTCAAGCTGCGTCCCAATTCAGCCTGGCTAGTCAGCCGACCAACAGGCGCTTCTGTCCGGAACTTGCTACCTTCTTCCTCTCCAGCGCCTCAACCTAGTGTGCCTGCAAGCGTAACTGCTGATATTGCCAAACTGGACACAGCGTCAGGTCCTCCCAGAAATGGCACCTCGAGACCTCCTATGCCTCAGTCTGGGAAATCCTATCAAAATCAGCGGCCTGAGACGGAGTGGAATGATCTTCCTGAGGATATGGCGAACAGCCGTCTCGCACCACCGCCCCGGGTAGGAAGTACTGGCTCTGGTGCAAGCTCTAGAAGTAGCTCTGCGGCGCGAAAGAAGAGGGATAGGTCTTATCCCGCAGCTGCTTTTGGGAATTGAGGCATAGACGAGAGATGTGATTGATATAAACTGCTAGTAAAGAAGAATGGATTGCTTCACGATGGTATACGATTTCAACGGTTCGGATGGGCTAGACTCGCTTCACGAAAAGACACAATATTAGACTTACCATAATAATAACCCAATAATAAATCCAATTGCTCCTCGGGAAACTGAAAAGGAATCATCAGATGATCTCGTCATAAAACTTGGTTGCCTTATAATTATACAACATTTGAACATCAAAAAAGCCGAGGAGATGAAAATATTGAAGAAAACGCCCAGGCCCCAAAAATGAACATGACCACATCCCATCACAAGCGCATATATACATAAATCTTGACACGAGTTATCAACTCAGAAAACATAACACCGAAACTTGTAATTGCTCATCGACGCTTGTTATACCATATAGCTGCTAGCGCAAGGAGACCAACAGCACCACCAATGAGGAGTGCTTGGTTAGAGACTGGTGCTGAATCGACTATTAAATTGTTAGCAAATGTCGCTTAGGCAGAAGCCGAAGTCTGAATGGCTTGGGATGAAGGGTAGAACGTACGGATCGCATCAGAAGACTTGCGAGCGCGGTTGGACTCAGATCTCAAGTCAGTCAAATAATCTTCGGGCTTCTCCCTGCCAGCAGCCACCAAGGCAATCAGGGCGGCGCCGACACCGCTACCGTCCTTAGCGATACCGATTCGGATCTTCTCGGCACCATGTGGTCCGATGCCGTCAATGGCACGGAGGGCTTCGTAGATCATATCGCGGAAGAAAGGGTAGTGCTCGACGAGGCTGCCATCGACACCGATATCAATAACTTCTTCATTGAGATCATTGAGCTTGCCAGAGTTGAGGGCGATGGCACCGATGGCGACAGCTGACAAGCGAGCAGCGCGACGACCAACAGCATTGGAAACAGACTTGAAGGCCTGGGCGTCCTCGAGGGAGGGAGTATAAACACTGAGGAGGTTTTCGAGCTCCTGGCGAAGAGTAGACAGTTCAGGAGTATTATCGGCGGCCGCAACGGACATGATGGAGCTGTCGAGTCCCCAAGGCTTGAGGAAGCCAGACGATGGCGCGATGTTTGTGGTGGTGCCCCAGTCGTTCGTGCTCGAGTTGAGATCCTTGAACAGAGACGAGCTCTCATTGTTGATCATATCGGCCATGGCAAGTCGGACAATCTCACCCAAGAACATGCCAGACACCCGCTTCTCGAACATTTGAAGGCCAGGGTTTACACTTTGGGCGTCAAGAGCCTTATCCCAAGGTGTTGATGGCAAAACGTTGAGCTGGTTGTCAAAGGAACCCCACTCTGTGTTGACAACCATCTCTCCTGTTGATTGATCATACTCCCCAGAGATAGGCTTCTTGATGTTGCTCAATTTTTCCATGTAGGCACCGTTGGTACCCGTTCCAAAGATGGCACCGAGAACAGATCGGCTCTTGCTAGTTGAAGTGTAGGATCGAGCCATGAGAGTGCCGACAGTGTCGTTCACGAGCGCCGCTACCTTGACGGGGAGGTGGAGCTTGTCGATCTCGGTCTGGAGCAGAGCACAGACGTCCTTGCCTATGGCATCGGGGATGTCAAAGCCCTTGGTCCATCGAATCAGCAGGCCCTTGTTAATAGCTAGCTGCTTGACAGGGAAGCTGAATGTGAATCCCAGGCGGAAGATATGTTCATCGCGATAGCCCGAGGGAGTACTGGCAGTGTTGCGACGGCGGAGGTGGGAGTTGAAGTGGTCGGCATGATGCTCCTTGAGGAAGATCTCGATCTGCTTGGCGAGAAAAGAAAAGAGCTGTGCGGAGGTCTTTGCGACCATAAGCTCTTTCGGAATGGCAACCTTGTTGTAAGTGAGGTTAAAGGTGGTGTCACCATTGAGCATGATGGAGCAAACTCGGAAGTTTGTGCCTCCCAGATCAACGGCCAGATACAGACCCTAGTGAGGGAGAATCAGTCTGGGCAGCTTCACGAGCCACATGTGGGTAAAAATTTACCTTTTCTGTGCCATTGGGAACGCCGGTGACGTAGGTAGGAATTTGCTGGAGGCTGGTACCCTCTTTGTGAAGGCCCTCGTCTAGGAAATTGTGAGTTTGGGTTCTGTTGAGGGTTTAAAGCCAAAATGGGACAAAATGCTCATCATGACAACGAGCTACAGTAGCACCGCGGCGCAGATTCTACGTGGAGCGAGGGGTGAGCATACCCATTTGCCTCAAGAACTCCTTCACATGATTGTTGAGTTCCTCATCGGAGAAGTCGAACTCTCGGACGATGCGGTTGGACTCGTCAGCGAGAGCCATGGTGATAGCTGGTGAGGTTGGCGGCGTGGTCGTGAAGAGAGGGGTGATGTAGCAGACAGCTTCGGACGCTGAAGGGATTGGTGGTGGGGATGAGAGAGAGAATTGAGGGAATAAAAGGTGAAGGTTTCGTAGAGAGAATAATTGGAGGAGAGAGGAGAAGGAAAACAAAATTGAGGCGTTGGCGGACGACAACGAGGTCAAAAGGTTTCTTGGGAATTTGAGCTCTGGCTGCTGCTGGAGCTTGGCGTCACCGTCAGTGAGGACAAGCTGGGAGAGCTGCTGACGGAACCTGTGTCAGTGGCTGATCAACTACCAATGACGACTGGAAATGGGGATGTTTTCTGGGGCCTGGGGATCATGGAGCGTTACGTGAGTGATGACAAGGGCCAAAGTTTCTGAGACTGGGCAATTTGCCATTGAGCGCCGCCGAATGGGCCCGAATTGCAGTGGATTTTTCAATACCACGAGCCTCACTCCAGCTGCTTCCTTCTCCTGATTGAGGCGCCATCCCCATGGTTCTGAAGCACTCAACCCAATCGAAGTGTCGCCGGGCGGCCGTGGAGAGGCCGTTCAAGTGGAGAGATGGTGAAGGTGTGGTCGGTGGTGCTCGGGGTGCGGGGGAGAAAGCTCATAGAGGCTCCGCTAATACGCCGAACTTGGCCGTGTCTTGCTTGCAGTCTCTTGTTTTTTAGGGTGCTTGGTCTCTAATAAAGCATAATAATTATTTCTTGAGGCTCATGTCCCGCGTGCATATCCACTGGGATGCCGTCATAAGCCAACTTGGCCCCAATAAAAATTAAATAAAGAGTTGTCAGTCGTCCCCAGCCATGAAGATGATGCTATCGTCAAGTCCCTCAACTGTATGTATCCTCACTAGTAAGGTTTCGATCAGGTCATGCCGTGCATCATCTTCATGAGCCGAGCTCATCCCAGTCCCATTCCCAGTCTTGCGGTACGGACGGGTGATTTTTGGGCTGGAGAGCCAAAGATGGGGCAACGGGGAGACAAATGGACGTGTGGGTGAAAGGCGGGATGACGGGGTAGGAATGATACTGCAAAAGATATGATGGCCCCAGAAAATACCAAGCACAGGGAAAAAAGAAAGCCGTGTTGAAATGCCAACTTACCACTAGAATCAGCATGAGAGCTACACACGAGACAAGGAACCGAGGCCAAGGGCGCTTCTTCGTCTTGATCTCATGTCCATGTCCATGCCCATGCCCATGCCCATGCCCATACACCTGCACCTGCTGTGCCTCCATTGTCTAATTGACCACCACTTCTAAGTCAGGGTCCCGGCGGTGGTGAATTTCAACAAGAGATTTTCTAGCCTGCTTTGGTCGCGTGCTTGTCTAAGATTTTCTTCCCGATGAGTTTTCGCAGAACCAATGACTTCTCGATCGTAAGAGTGTCGGCAATGAGGTGACAAATAGTCAGAGAGTTCTTAGTAAAGTCTAGATCTCCGTTGTTGTGGTCATTGCTGAATCGAGGATTTTGAAACGGCCCGTCTTCTCCGTATCGGGTGCACCAGACGCGGAAGAAGAAACCGTCAACTTCCACATCAATGAGCCGCCCCGACTTATCATGCGAGATTCAGAAGGGGGAACTTCGGCGCTTGATCTGGTGAGTCTCCTGTTAGGTGTTGCAGAGGTCGGATTGGTGTAATGTAAGTGGTGGGCTGGACCCGACACAGCGTTTCGTGGCTTGAGCCTCAAGGACAATGATACACTGGCATTCACAACGTCAGGAACGACATACAACATGTCCCCGTCTCTTCCGTGCCGTGGTTTATCCTCGAAATACCGCAATGGTTCGAGAACAAAAGGGATGATCTGTGTCGTGTGGTGTGGTGTGGGTATAAAGAAACGTTTTGAACAAAATGGCAGGTGGTAAATAGCTTCACTTTTTATGCCTCAGATGTGGCTTGGTAACGTAGGTGGGTGAGTAGCCAGTTCTAAGTTGGAGACTCGTGCTCAGTCTTTTCCGTCTTCCTTGGTAGTTCTTGTGAAAACTTTGAGGACTTACGAGAGACAACACCGGTCAAATGTAAGAAAGAGATGGTAAAGGACGGCACCCTATTCCACGATACCGCTCTTTACACATAATAAGCTACCGTCCTTAACCAAGAAAAGGTTAAGCCACGTTCCCACCCTGGGGCAGTAATAAACCCTCTTATGAAATCCTTATTAGCTCGATAGTCTTCCTTGGATTTCAAGAATTTCAGAGAAGCCATCACTCTTTTGGCAGCACCGTGCATAACATCAGGTTCGAGGCCTGACTTACACTTCAATGTGAGTCTTTTGTTCTTGACAACAAATTCTGACGCCTCCCTGCTTCAAACTCTAGGCCCTGAATGATGAAATGAGGGCAACCGCTGAGCTGCTACTACCTTACGCTTAAATATTTAAGCCAAAGTTAATAACCTAAAATGCAATCATCACTTTCTATTGCAGTCTTCGTGATAATGGATGTAGTAGAGCCGCCATTATCTCGCAGTCCTGGCCAGGCCGCATTCCCTACTGGTTGGCCCATCTATGTTTGAGGAACCTGGCCGGTTGATCAGTTCTACAGCCAATCAGAAAACCACTCGCCAACGTTGCTCAAACTTTATAATCGAGGCTTCGGCTTCAATTATCTACCACTGAATATCTGTTATACTTGATGATAAACAGACCAGAAAAATCTCGAGCAGATTTATGTGCCCATGTAGAAAGTAACCTATAGAATCACATATTATCTATACTAGTGATGCAAGAAAGTTTAGGAGCTTGATCCTAAATGATATAAAGATTTAGATAGTTTAGTCTAAATTTGGGGGATTCTTTTCTGGTTTTATTTTAATATTCTCTTTTAAAGTCTTAAATTTTCCTACTCCCTGAGGCCATATCAGCTGAACGTCGATTCTCTCACTCTCGTTGGTCATGAACTAATCCCTCCACTGGATTTGAATCAAAACCAACAGTGTAGTCTAAGCTACGCAGTGCATGTCTGGGAATGTCTCAGAAAACGTCAGCAAAGCCCCGACTACACATAACTTGTCTTGCTGAGCAATCTTACACATCTCACAGGGGGGGGGGGAAAGCAGTTTAGTTCCAAAATGGTATTGAGCCACCTTCTTTAATACAAATAACTGTAACATAGACATTTAACATGACTGCCTCATAAAGCTGCCATGGACCCTGCCTGCCCAACTGCCTTGTTTTTGTCATTCCATGGCTTGCCTGCCTGCTCTCCCTCTGTAAATATCGACCTAGACGCCAGGTAAACACGCATAAAGGGGCATTAGACAATTGCACAAAAGTATTAAGATAGAGAGAGCGGTAGGCTCTTGATTTCCTCCCGCCTCGCCTCCATGGTATAGAATGGTGGCCAGCACATCTCCCCAAGAGTGGTGAATTTTGCTTCTTGAATTCTTCTTCGTCCTTGTCGTTTGAGATTAGAGCATAGATGAGAAATTGCTGGTGTGTCCTCCAGCGAGCTTCGAATAACGCGATGGTTCGTTAGATCGATCCTTACATGATAATGGCAGGAATATCGACGTTAGCCTTGATAGATTTGTGGGGCAGGACGCTGCCGCCGTTGACGTAGATTTCATCACCAATTGTGACATCGTCGCCGAGAACTGTCACGTTCTCGAGGCGAGCCCATCGGCCAACAGTGCTGTTCCAGCCGACGATGGTGGACTTCACCCAGGCGTGGTCCTTGACCTTTGAGCCACGGAGCAACACACATCGTTGCAGGCGGACACCGTCACCGATAACGACATCAGGACCGATTGTGACATTGGGTCCGATCCTGCAGTTCTTGCCAATCTTGGCAGAGGGGTGGATCATGACATTTCCACCGTGAACGTAGGACTCAGTGGGAGGGGTGAGCTCCTTGCTGCCCTTCTTTGTGAGGGAAGAAAGGTACAGGCATGTACCGCTGAGGAAGTCCTTGGGCTGTCCAACATCCATCCAGAAACCCTCAAGGTCGAAAGAATGAAGCTGGTTATCCTTGACCATAGCGGGGAAGGTCTCCTTCTCGATAGAAGTCGGGCGGAGCTCGATACGGTCGAGGATGGAAGTGTTGAAGATGTACATGCCGGCGTTGATACGGTTGCCGACGAACTCGACGGGCTTCTCGACGAATCGGTCGATCAAAGAGCGGTGACCGGGCTGGTGAACAACAACACCATACTTGGAGGGTTCCTCAACCTTGGTGACCACAATGGTACCCTCGTTGCCGTGGTTCTTGTGGAAAGCCAAGAGGTCCTGGAAGGGGTAGTCGCAGATGACATCGGAGTTCAGGACGAAGAAGGGAGAGTCGTCCTTAGCGAGAATGCTCTCAGCAAGCTTCAGAGGTCCAGCAGTGTCGAGGGGCTCAGTCTCGACGGAGAATTCGATGTTGATGTTGTACTTCTCCTCGTACTGCAGAAAGGTCAGCTATATGGCGTTAAGGAGAATGTAAAGACTCTAGGTTCTTACCTCAGCCAAGAACTTCTCCATGATCTCAGGTCTGTAGTTGACAGCAAGAACGATATCAGTGACACCTGCTGCGACCAGCGCCTCAATCTGGTGCACAATCATGGGCTTGTTGGCGAACTCGACAAGAGGCTTGGGGAGAGTGAGGGTCTGTAATGCGCCACAGCATGTCAGTCACACACAAAACAAATATTGGAGGGGGTGCACAGGAGTTTTGCGCGCGCCTGAGGGGTAACGTACGAGAGGGCGAAGGCGAGTGCCAAAGCCGCCGACAAGAATAAGTCCTAGACATTTTTAGCTGCTGGAGAGGTCGAGAGCAGCCAGATAAAACCTACCCTTCATGATTGCGGTATTGAGAAGCTGTTACGTGGTGGAATGCGTTGTGAGCAACGTAAGTCAACAGTGACAGAGAAAGTAAAGAACAGAGAGCGACAGCAGCGAGGTCCTGAAAAGAAGGAAGAAACCTCGACAGGATTAGATTAAGGAAGAATAAAATGTTTTAAAGGGTATCGGGTATTTCGAGAGATTGAGTATCTG